TTATTATTATTGTTGTTGTTGTTGTTGTTGTTATTTTATTAGTTAATACAGGTAAACTCAGCCTCAGATGCAACATGAAATACTTGTTGAACTGCTTTGAGAATAAAACCTATAAAGTGTAAAATGAACAAAACCATCYGGACAGAGTGCTTCAGTCAGTGTCTGTAAAGGACAGGTCAGACAGTGAATATGTCGACACTGTTTCTGAGGGACAGGTTAGACCAGGGTGGGCCTGTTGTTGAGGTTTCTCTACGCCGACACCTGATTTGAATGAACTGGTGATTAAGCCTGGGCAGAATTTAAGAAGAGAATTAAACCACTGAATCAGAGGAACAAGTAAAACATCCATGACAGCAGCCCTCCCACCCCTGGGTCAGACAGGGATGATGTTGACACTGTCTATATGGGACGAGGTGGACACTCTGCTGTTTTCACTTCTTTGTTTGACCTACTGATGCTGCAGATTTACCTCTTCAAAAATTAAATCTAATATTGTTTTTAAAGTAATCGTGACACTAATGGTTTTTCATTTACYTTTTCTACATTGTAGTCCTCATCATTTCCACATGATGTTTCACTAACATGAATCCAATCAAACATTATCTAATCCACAAAAACAAATTAAACAGCAATTACAGGAAGAGGGATATTGAGGAAAAACATTTGACATGGCTTATCTAAGGCAATGTTTTTTCCCCATAGACAGCCATGCAGCCATATCCTGTTAACTGCAAAATCCTGTAGCCTATAGCCCCCTCAAATAAGTTCAATAAGAGATATTAATTAAAGTATTTGCATATCAGATGACTTTTTCAAAGGGGCTATTTTGCTCAGTATCAATATCATTTAGATATCTTCCTGTGACTCTGCGTCTTAATTTGGAGTGGTTTTAGATAGGTTGTCCTTATTCAGGTGGATTAGATTTTAGATTTTTATTATTTTTTAACTAAAAATAAAACAATCAAGAAAATATATGAACTCTCATATCTCAAAGTTCTGAAGTTGTCTTTTTCTGAAGTCTGTTAATCCTAAAAAATCGGGGAAATTAAAAATGCACAGATTAAGATTAAACAGTTTACTGTTTATAACTAATCGATATATTGTAGAGGAAATGATGCTTTTGACACGCTCCCATTAGTCCGCAACTGCACTTTATGTCTTTATCAAGCTTAAGATGAACACTAAAATTTACAGGTAAATCAGTCATTCTGAAAAACGTTATACAACGTGAGGCAGAACAAAGCAACCATGCAGCGATTTCCACAGTGTCTCTCACTTGGCTCGGTTTTGTTTCGGGTCCGCAAACTGAATTGCGAAACTCATTTTTCCTACGGACGCGAAGGCAGCAGCAGTCATACGGAAGCCGCGTTGGTGTTTACAGATGACGTTGTACAGAGATGTCGCTAACAAGATAAAGACGTTTCATTAAACGTCGTATTAAACAAACAGCTGCTGGTAATAAGCGAGAATAAAGTAAGATGAGTTTTTTTCGTTTATACTCTAGGAATTTGAACTAGTGTGACTTCTTAGCCGTAGTTTAGCTTCGTTGCTAGGCTGGGCTATGACTTGACAGTCACTCTCATGGCAAGTTAGCATCTTTCGCTAAGTGTTTTGCAATATGTCAAATTTATTACACAAAACTACAGTTTACTTAAACTCCCACTGACTTATAAAAGAACAAATTCATTCGTTAACACTTCCCCTTCGTGTCATTCTTTAGACGTGGAACCGCCTTAGCGAGCAGGCTAAGCTAAATATAAAGTAAACAACGCTAATTATAACTATTACAATTTGTAACGTGACTGGACACCTAGGTGAACAAAATATTTCACATCCGCGTTGTATAAACAATCTCGATAAGAATGCTTTCCCAACTCTCCCGTGATTTGATTAGTTTGAAGGTTTATTCTTGAAACTAGCAGAACACATTCATTGTGTAAATGTGGGATGCAAGGCTTTCTAACACACCTTAAAAACCTGTACAGAGCAGGTAAACACAGGTGTTCTCAGTATCTTTAATCGCTCCCAACCCTGCTAGCTGATACAAACAGCAGAGCTGATTGCTGATTTAGGCTCTCCGTTGTGACACATGCCTCCTCCTTACCATGGGCTTCAAAACGATATTGTACGAAACAAACACCATTAATTGAGATTGTAGTGTGTTGTTCATTGTTTGATTTGTGTTTACCACAGAGAGAAGATGTTGGAGTCCTACGTCACGCCGCTCCTGATGAGCTATGTGAACAAATACATTAAGAACCTGAAGCCGTCGGACCTGCAGCTTTCCCTTTGGGGAGGGGATGTGGTGCTCAGCAAGCTGGACCTGAAGCTGGATGTACTGGAACAGGTACTGAGCGTTAAATGTAATCTGCGTTTGGCTGAGTTATTCTTTTAGACCAAACCAAGTGTGGTTCTTTAAACAGACACGTTTCAGTTCTGGCATTTTCACAAATCATCCTGTTCTGTAGRAGAAATGTCATTATGATTAATAATAAGTACTTTTTATTTTACTGCACTGTGTTTAGCTACTAAAAATACAATTCTCAGAGTCTCACAGTCTACTAATCAATGTGGCTTAAAGGGATCCATGATTAGTTGTAACATTAGACTTTATTTGATAAAAATATATTTTAACTGTTAAAGAGTGTAAAAATACTGTAGACTGTTTAGTTTTTATAATTTTTAAACTAAATGTTTAAAAATATATTACACGGACAGAGCCATTTTATTTACACACAAAGCATTCTGGGTAAATGATGACGTGGATAGGTCATCTGTGCGAGGCTGCTACCGAGCTATATCCACCCTGAAGGTTAATCTTGGACAATATCTGATGATCGACTCTTTTAAATGAAACCAGAGAGCGTTGACAGAGAGGAGAAGGTAGAAATGACTCAACCTGTAACTGAAAATATGGATGAAGGACCTCAGTGTAGCTTGTTAGCTTGTTTTGATAGCAAAGAGCTAACACATATAAGGCAATGTAGCGTTGGTGCTAAAGCTAACAGGCTAAGCTGAGGTTCTTCCATGAAGCAGCTCTGTTGTCCTCCATCTGTGTTTTCAGTTATTGTCCAAGATTAACCTTTAGGGTGGATATAGCTCGCTAGCAGCCTCACACAGATGACCTATCCACATAATCATTTACCCAGAATGCTTCGCGTGTAAATAAAATGGCTCCATCCGTGTTAAAATAGATTTTTTTAAATTTACAAAACTGAGCAGCCTACAGTATTTTTACTGTCTTTATTTTACCGTTAAAATACCGTAAATGTTTATCAAATAAAGTCTGTTACAACTAATCATGGATCCCTTTAAATTACACTCAGACCTGAGTCTTACTTGAATGTACTAATTTAATTTTTACTTTACTGCATTACAATAATACTATCCTTAAAAGTAAACCAACATAAGTGTTTTGTTTTCTTATAGAGCAGGACTTTTCAGGTGAATATAAACTGGGATGAATAATATTACAAACTGTATTACGCAGTGTGCTAAAAAAAAAAATCTAATTTCAAATCAAAATGTTTTTATTTTTTGGTGTGGTTTTCTGGATGGCATTTATTAAATCCTTTTGCTGCCTGTAAGTCATTTTGACCCAGAATAAGCAGGAGGGATGAATAAGTTATGGGGACATATCCAGCAAAATCCACTTTTTTAGCTATGAAATGCATTTTGTTGTGTACTTTGCGTCTCTAGGAGGCAGAAAAGTTGAACTTAGTCTTGCCTGGTGCTGCATAGATGTCTTTATATTCTGTTTGGGTCATATTTTTCAACTCGTTTAGTTTTCTCTATTCTCTATGACGTTGTCTGGACCATTATGCCACAGTATTTGTGACTGAATTTTTAAATGATGTCTGGACTTACCAACTACAATTTGGTGGTCTTCATTCTCCTCTGGGTCAGATTCTGGCTCCAAATAAGGCTGGATGGACAAGTCCTTTGTTGTTAAATGGGAAAAATAAGGATTTAAAAAATATGTCTACTTTAATCCTTTCTAGACTGAAACATTTTGTTCTCTAAATTGAGTTCTAATTTGTTTCCTCTGTGATGTTTTTTTTGTAACACAAGTGAAYGCTCAAGACCAGTAAATGGTCAAAACATCTCCTTTTCTAGATGTGCTCTCACTTGGTCAGTTAATTAATATTTTTGATCAGCAGCTCCTACTGCTACTTTCCCTCTTAATGAAACTGTAGGAAGCACGGAATGGGGCACCTTTGTTTTTCACCCACACGTTCCACATTATAATTTTTTCTTTTCAAATATTTTTCAAAAATATTTATCAAAATATAGTGCTGTGATAAATGGATGCTTGTACACAAAGGGTTACTTGTTTGAGTCAAGATGGTCTCCTTAGAAAGCATAAAAATGGCCATAATTCAGTAAGTTTGAAAGATATTGAGCAAAATATCATGTGGCACCAGCTGAGTCTGGGATTACTTCATGCAGACATTAACTTTACTTCAGTTGTTTGCAGCGACTGTAGCGTTTATAAATTTATTTTTGTCCCCCACATGAGTTCAGCTAAACAACAACAACTGTAGCAAACTACTGTTATGTCCTCACTCTCAGTAGTTGTTTCAAAATCTTCTCAGGTTCTTCAACAGCCAAAAATWAAATTCAATATTTTCTCGTTTATTCAAGATCATCCATCACGGTCGGTGGTCATCTGCATATTTCTGTTGTTAAAAAGTTTCTTTTCATCCAGCTGGAGTCACGGTCCTGAGCAGTCCTTGCTCACTCATATCAGTCCACCTGCGATGTGGTCTTGGTCCGTCAATCTCCTAGTGGATCCTGTTCGTTGACGCCAATTGTTATGGAAATATTTCTTTAACAAAGACAGAAATATGTGGTCCAAGAAGGAAGGCACTCCGTGGAATGGTTAGCTGAGTTTTATTGCAACAACAGGAACACAGAAAAACATCGAGCCATCAGACTGTCCCCCTGCTCTCTGCTCCTGCTTCTGCTTCTCCTTCTCTGAGGCAGTTGAGGCCTCATATATACTGTTTAACAAACACTATTATGTCATCTTAATAAAGCAAGATTTCATCCTAAGGAAATGCTGGGTCACGGGAAAACACAAAGATAAACACAAGTGATGTAGAATGATTTGTTGTTAGTAAATCTTGTTCTGACATTAATCATTCTCTCTACTGATAAACCACATGTCATGAAAACCTAGGTCATTAAAGTGTGTCATGAATTACTGGCTTAAACCTAAAAGTATTATTTCYATCACACTCCAACAAGCTAAAATTTGCTACCATTAACTTACTGTTCTCTGCCGTCCTGCCTTCTCGTCCCAAGCATTACACTGCTGCATGGTCTGGTACAGAATTTGGTACTGTTCTTTTGTTGTGTTGCAAATAAAACAAAATAAGATTTGTGTGTTTTTAATATTATATTGCCCACATTGAGGTAGCACTCTGCTCAAAGTAAACACAACCAGGGCTGAGGTAGAGTAAGGCCAGGCCGAGCACTGCAAAAAGGCCAATAGAGGACTTCAAAACCAGTTGACAGCAGAACTTCCTTGAGAAGCTGCCAGTTTGTTTTTTCTTCATCAATATTCAATCAGCCTTAAACTGGAGTTTACCATTACTGTATAAAGTTTGTGTGGCGGAAACCTAAACCTGCAAAAACAGGGAAAACATGGAAACGTCAGTTGGATGAATGGAGTTAGAAAATGTGTTTTGTTCTTCTGCAGTCATTTAACTTGGTACGACACTGTATAAACTGTAAATCTAATGTTCTGTCAGATCACACTTGTTCCACTTTAAACTGACGTACCTTTTGCATCTTTGTCAATACATAGGAGCTGAAGCTGCCCTTCACATTCATGAGTGGTCATATTCATGAGCTACGAATCCATGTACCCTGGACCAAGCTGGGCTCAGAGCCTGTTGTTATCACCATCAACACAATGGAGTGCATCCTGAAGCTAAGAGATGGATCCCAGGTTAGTTCTTTAATAAAAAAAAAAATAAAAAAAAAAGCTTTTTCTAAGTCTGTTGTTGGGCCAAAAAGAACACTGATTGGTGGGCCTGATGGATAGAGCTTTATCAGAGCTAAACAACAAAAGAAATCTGAAGCTTCTATGTTTAACAATTTTTGAGTTTTAAGCATTTTTGCATGTCCTGACACCCCCTMTTTGAAAGGAGCCCCCTCCTCAAATAAAGGGTGTATCGTAAAACCGTTGCTTGGYGCAGTGTAGGTCAGACTCATCTACAGTCCTGCCAAATTTCATGTTGACCGGTGTAGCTGTTTTTGTGCTACGGTTGACCAAAAATCTCCAGAGGAAAAAAAAAACAGTACGAAAACAATATGACTCCCGCTTAAGTTTTGCGTGCGGGGGTCATAATAATTTGACTCTTACCATGTATCTGGTCTGCTGCATAATTTTAGCCAGTCTTTGTGCTGATAAAGTTTGTAGGTATTTCCTCATCTGCAATGAGCGGCGCTCATCTTGGAAGAAAAAAAATATCACAGAAAGTTTAAATCTGAAAGCAGTCTAATTATGATGTTTGATTTAAGAAAACCATGGACAGATGACAGGCTCCTCCTCTGTTTGTCTTCTGAATGAGATGAGGTGGTCAGAACATGTCACTAAGGTCTTCTGATAGAACTGAAGAAATTTTGTAACTGATTAATTGAATATTAGATTCAGTTTTGTATTTTATACTTTCTGATCATTTCAGTCTGTAAGGGTGAAGCTGACAAAGAGTTGGTGTGTGTGTGTTATCATGTGTTCTTTCTCTTAACTTAAACAAAACTGAGTGATGTTCTGACGTCTGACGTAAAAGGTAACACCTCCAAGGGTGTAACCAGGAAGAGATGTACATTATAAGCTGAATTCATTATTACAGTGGTTTGCAAAAGTATTCATACCCCTTGAACTTTTCCATATTTTGTCACATTACAACCACAAACATAAATATATTTCACTGG